GTAGGCCCTTTATGTGCAGAGCAATGGAGAACAATGAAGCGTTTTAAATCACTTAAGATGCTTACCCATCCGTTTCCTCCCATCTTCATTCTGTCCCTTCTTCCAACCAATGTAGTTTGTGTGGTTTGACCCCAGATTGGCCTAAGACACTTAGAATGTGTCTTAGATTGACACATTAGACATTTAGTCTAATTTCTTTGGCCACAGGGATTAGTTCAGGGATGGGCCAACAAGACACAACATACTATTTGCTAGAGCTTCTGAAAGAGTGTCCTCTTTTGTTGTATTTGCTAGTGTGACTGCTCAGAAACTGCTCAGCCATGTCGTTATCACAAGAGGGGGCAGCCTGAAGGGAATACTGACACACAGGAGACAGAGCTGCAAGATGGCACTCAGTGACAATTATAATCTGAGTCCTGGATCCAGATGTAATTGAAACCATACTGTTCCTTAAATCTTCAGGTGAGACTGAAAATTCCCTTTTATTTTATTTAAACCTATATGACTTAGGCTTTCTATAACTTGCAACATGAATATTCTTAACTAATATATGTAACATGATCACATTTGCATTTTAGAAAGATCATTTGGTCTGCAGGGATAACGGATTGCAAGGTACAAGGCAGGGAGACCTGGCAGGAAGTTGAATAGTAATCTAATTGAGAGACGATATTGGCCTGCACCATAGTGGTGGAGGGGGGCAGGGGGTCCAGAGAGAATTGATGGACTTAAGAGATAGTTAGGATAATATATAGAGGGCCTACCTGGATGTGGGGAGAAAAGCCAGAAGAAAAAGTTAAGAATGATTTCTGTGTTTTCCGACTTGAGCTACAGGATCAGTGGAATCATCCACTGAGGGGAAGAGCCCACACTGGATTGGTTTGCCTGTGAAACATCCACGTGAAGATGACAAATAAGGTGTTGGGTCTGCAATTCAACAGAAAAGACTAGGCTGGAGACTCATTAGTATATAGACAGTAAATGGAATCATTTAGTAAGAAGAGAACATAATCGTGAATAAACTACCAATATTTAGGAACAGGAGAAGGTGAGTAAGAGCAGGTGGAGAGGTGGGAGGCAATGCAGGGGTGTTCAGTGTCATAGGAACAGAAAAAGATAGGGTTTAAGAAGGCCAGAGTGGTCTGCAGTGATAAAGAGATAAAGAGATAAAGTCAAATGAGATAATAAGAGATAAAGTCAAATGAGAATGAGAAGTTGCCTTTAAATCTAGGAACGTGGAGGTCATAGAGAATTTAGAATATTGGGTGTGGCGTCCAGATTGCAGAGGGTTGAGTGTGAGGAGTGTGTGTGTGCATATCTATGTGTAAGTGGAGTCATCAAATGAGGACAATCCTTTCATAAGTTATTCTACTTCGCAGTAAATTTCTCGAAAAGTCTAGAGCTTAGTCATCAGTTCTGTTCTTGTTGCTACCTATATGCATGTATTTGGTGATTTCATATAGTCTCATATCTGTAAATATCATCAATATGCCAGAGACTCTCAAATTTATGCATGTCCAACTGCAGCCTCTTTCCTAAGCTCCACACTTAACTATCCAGCTGCCTACCCGACATCCCCTCCTCAAAGTCGAACTGGCATCTCAAACTTTTTTTTTTTTTTTTAGAGATGAGGTCTTGCTTTTGCTCAGAGCTCGTCTTGAACTCCTGACCTCAAGTGATCCTCCCGCCTCGGCCTCCCAGAGTGCTAGCATTACAGGAGTGAGCCACCATGACCAGCCCTGGCACCTCAAACTTAATGTGTGCAAAACTGAGCTCCTGATCTTCCCCCCAGCCTGAGACCCTTGGAGCCTTCTCAACCTCAGGGATGGCATCCAATCCTTCCAGTTGCTTAGGCCAAAAACTGGACTCAGTCTTGATTCCTCACTTTCTCTCACGCCATTTTTAAACTCTGTTAATGAATCCTGTTGGTTTTACCTTCAAAATATATCCAGAATCTGACCATTGCTTACCCTTCCACCACCATCACTGTGATCTCTCGCCAGAATTATTGTATTAGGTCCATATCGTGACCTTTGCTGGCCCTATGGTCTGTTCTCCACATAGCAGCCAAAGTGATCCTTTTAAAAGATGCGCAAGCTTCAAGAACTTGGGGTCGCCTCAAGAAGAGAGTGTAAGAAATATACTCTCAACAGCAGGAAAGAGAAAACAAAAGGTGGGGTCACTGAGAAGACAAAGTACCCAAGCTTCAACGAGGGAGGAAGAAGCTGGAAACTTCAACCTAGATGAGTACAAATGCAGGTGTTATTTGAAAAACTGCAGGCCCAAATACTTTGAGCAGCAGCAGCAACAACAATGGAACCAGTAACAGGTATTAGGTAATAGGAGTGAGCTGGGTTCATTAGCCAGAGCCTGTGCTGATCCTGTTCTGTCAGTCTCTGGTCTCTGCAGCCCCTTTAGGTTTCCCATTGTAGGAATTATACTGTCTCTGAACACAATTAGGCCTGGATATCTAGTTGGGTATCTGGCAGGCTCCGGTCTGCTCTTGGCCTTTAAAGTCCCAGGGATGTTAGATCAAACTTAAAAAGTTCCCTTGGTCCAGTATTGCACTATTCACCCAAAGACTCCATATTGAAAATCCATTCCCTCCTCCTCCCTAAGTCAGTTCTGTTCGTCCCAGCTCAATGGAAAGGATAATGACCTCTGTCCCTCGGATCACCCAGACATGGAGCTAGACTTAGGCCTTTAGGACCAAACTATGGAAACCCTCACCCCAATGGGCACACAGAAATTCTAGATGCCCTGAGGTTGGAGCTGACATATGAGACTTCGATGAGCACAGTATAAGATTGTAGTATTACAGTCATTACAGACAGTATAACACTGTCTACTGATAACTCCAGCTGACTCTTTGAAGGCACTGTGAAGAAATCCTATGAAAACAGTATGGCATTCTACGGTATTATTATACTGTCCAAATATTAGACATTGATGGGCATTTTGATTTCCCGTTTGGAGGAATTATTTACAATGCTGCAATAGACATTATTTTACATATTAAAAAATGGAATGGCATTCTTATTTTTTGGATTAAATCATCATTCTTATAGTCCTGGAGGTCCTATGTTACTTTACATACTATATATTTCATTACGTTTATGATTTAGCTAGTCTCCCTCCCCTGGCTAGATGGAAAGCCCTAGAGGACGGGGATCTTATTTGTTTACTGATATATATTAAGTGCCTAGAACAGTGCCTGGCACATAGAGGCTCAATGAAGGAGGTTGTGGAAGGAAGGAGAGAAAGAGGGAAGGAAGAAATAAAGGAAGAGAGAGCAGGAAGCAGGGAGGGAGGGAAGGAGGGAAGAAGAAAGTAAGAAAGGAAAGAAGGGAAGGAGGAGGGAATAGGAGAGAAAAAGAGAGGAAAGATGGAAGGAAGGAAGGAAGAAATTTTGCCCTGAAGAGGAAGAGATAACAGGATAGCAGACAGAATCAAGGAAAGGATTTTCTAAGATGGGAGAGATTTGAACATGTGAGCTAGGGAGCCAGTAGAGGCTGAAGGTTCAAGAGAATGGACTGAACCAATTTTGAGAGTATGTGAAGAAATGAGATCCAGAGCACAGGTGGTGGGACTAGCACTGGGCAAGTCCAGAGCTGCAGAAAGCAGCTGTAAACCCTGCTGAAAATTTTGTTAAGTCCCCAGCAAGAGTGGACAGGCTAAACATTTTCCAAGGGATTTTTAATGCTATGCGATAGTTGGCTCTTAGGGTCCTGAGCTTCCTTCTGGATGGCTGGGCCTGGTAATTTTTAACTAACAGTTCTCCCCACTCTGCCATCAGCCCCAACCTGTCAGTCCTGGACAGGTCAAAGGATGATGTTTGTAACTGGAAGGATGAAGAAAGGATGGATGCTGTTGCACATAAGTCATAGGCTTATTGGTAGGATCCCAGTTGGAAGTGCTGGGCTGGTAGCTTGTGTTTAATTTTGTTTTTCACAGAAGTGGGAGATGAGGTCATTTGCTATGATTTAATTGTGCTGGTGGTGGTGGGCTTTCAGGTATGAGGAGAATGGAGGTTGGATATTTTTATTAGAGAAAATGGGAGAATATTAGGAATTGCTGCTATGGCAAAAGGTACAGAAATCTCATTAGGGGAGCACTGAAGAATTGTATTGAGTTCAGGTCAATGACAGGCATTCATGGTTGCTAGAACCTGCCCAACTGTGCAATTTGCAGCCCAGGGGCAGACAGAGTTGATTTTTTTTTTTTTTAAACCAGATAAGCTGGAACAATGGGGCATGTAATTCAAGGCAGCAAAAGCATCTTGGCTGAAGTGATGGACGATGAAGTCAATGGTAGATGAGGAAGAGAGTGAAGATACAAGAAAACCAATAGGAATAAAATTGAGGGTTCTGTGAGCTATAGCAATAATTAACAGACTTTAATGTGTATAAAAATCACCTGGTAAGGGCCAGATCCTACAGTTTTATTCATTAGGTCCAGGCTAAAGACAAAATCTCAATTCTCAACAAGGATCTTAGTTGATTCTGATGTAAGAGGGCCATGGACTATTTTTTGAGAAATGGTGTATATGAATAAGTGATATTTAGAGAGGAGCTGGGGTGGGGGGAGAGTGCGAGTGAGCGAGCAAGCGTGAGCTGGAAGGACAGGTGGCTAAACTGGGAGAGGAGGAATTTATCTCAAAGGGGAAGCAGACTTGAGTGGTGAAAGTCTTAGGGAGTGCCCAAGGGAGTGTGGGGCCGAAGTGGAGTGGAGGTGAACATCACCAGAGGTGAGGAGGCCAAGGTAAGGAAAGCCTTAGGTTATCCATGTGGACCTTGAAGCCACTCCAAAGCAGTACTTGGGATAGAGAGGGAAACCTGTGAGCAAAGTTGAAGGCCACTGGTAAATGAAAGGGAGGAAAGTACAAGTGGGCAGACAAAGCAGATATATGGAGTAGAGGGGTGTAACTGGTTAGGAGTTTTCACACAACTGTGGCCTACATTAGGTGAGTGAGTACTGTTTGCTAGGCTTTCCATACATTCGTCTGTTTAATCCTCAAAAATAATCTTCATATGAAGCAGATGGTATTTTTATTCCCCTTTTATAATGAAGAAACTGAGGAACAGAGAGGTTAAGCGTCTCACGATTCTTATCCAAAATGCTATGCTCATTCTCGTAAAATGATAGTGGCAAGTGTTTTAATACATGTCAACTGAAAAATAAAATCAGACCTCCTGAATATTGTTAGGAGTAGGGTTAACTTTGGAAAAACAATGGAAATATTTATTTAAATGCTATTTGTACTGAAATATTTGTTTTTCAACTTCAGCAGGTGGCAGCATTGAGTAGAAATTTCATACTAGGTCATCTAACAGAATAGAAACACTGACCCATTCTGCACACATCAAGACTTCTGCACGTTCCATGCTTTGATGATTTCTTCAGCAGCATCCAGTGTGCTATCTTTCTGTAAATTAATGAAATAATCATCGTCTTTACATATCAGCATAAATTCAAGATAAAGCAAAGATTTAAATATAAAAAATACAAATCATAATAGCACTATATGAAGATTTAAGTGAATATCTGATCTTGGGTATAGAAAATTTTTCAAAGTGAAAATGCAAAGGCAGAACCCCAAAGAGGAAGTTCATGAAATTAGTTATAATTTCAGGAACAAGTCAAAGAGTACAGAAAAATAATAGTTGTCTGCTCTGCCCCTTCCCATCCCTTCCTAGTAATCCCTCCATCCTCCGAGATAACCTTTTATGGCAATTTCTGGTTTTAGTTCTAATGGTTACCACTAAAATCTAAGAAATATGCTTATGCTTCTATTTCCTTCTTTGTGAACTTCACATATTGACCACTATATCTGTACTTTGCCCCAAATAAGGAAAATTTAGTTCATTCACACTACTCTGCTCCCTCCTTTCAAAGTTTCAGTTATAATTACTGAAAAATAATCCACCTGTTTTTTGACTAGGTAATACATGCATATGTTATAAAATTAAACTGAAGGGTAAAGAGTAAAAATCCAGCCTTCTGTTCTTCTTCTACTTCTCTACCTTTTCTTTCTCTTTCCTCTCTACCAAAATGATTCAGTCTGAAAGGCAATAGGTGGGTCTGAGCAAAGTGGGTGCCCATGTGTAGGGGGCCGGGGCATGATGCAGAGTGGATAAGCAGGGTGGCCAGTGTGGGTGGCATGAGGTGGTGCTGGCAGCAGTGGTGGTGCTGACCTGGAACAGGGTGTCAGAGTCTCGGTGGGCTAAACGAGGCTCCTGTATGGTAGGGTGGCCCCCTGCAGGCATCCGGCATGGATGTCAGAGCCCAGAAGGGGTGAGGAGAGTTTCCGTTCATTGAGTGACGGTGGTGGCCTGGTGTGGAGTATTGGAGTCTCAGAGGAAGGCAGCTCTGCAAGAGGGTGACGGGGCAGGTCGACATATGGTGATGAAGCCCAGGGGGCATGAGGATGCAGTGGCAGCAGCCTGGTAAAAAATGGCGAAGTCTGAGTGGGTTAAAGGGTATTTACTCGGGGACGGGGAGGGTCGGGGGAGCAGTGGCATTGGCAGGAGACCGATCCCATACAGAGGTATTGATTAAATTAGTGATTACACAGTGGGAGCCAGGCTTTCCACTGTTCAGGAAGGGAGTTACAAATATGGAAAGTGAGAAAACTAGAATAAACCCTGTGGTGGTTTTTAATATATTTGGGTAGAAATAAATACAGATATAAATATGAATATTTATATCTAAATGTCAATACATTTAGATATAAGAGGAGCTCCTAGTAGCCAAATCTAGGAAAATCTGAGCATCAAAATAAGTAATAACAATACTAATAAATTATAGCCCACTGAATAAAATAGGAATCCATAAGTCCCTACTGATAGAAATAAATTGGTAAAATGAATAAATTTTTTGATGAGATATGGAATATTTTCATAGTACCTCACCACATAATATTTATTATTTTACAAGGAAAAAAGTACAACTTCACAGTAGAAAAAAACTGGCAAACTCTACCTTAATCAAGTGATTAATGTTAACATCACTAGTAACAGGAAAAATAGAAATTGTGTGCTACATGGTGCAAGGGAAAGAATAGAGCATCGCTTCAGTTTTTTTCTGCCAAAGTGCATAACCTGACTCTAATCAGGAGGAAAGGTCAACCTTAAATGAAGGACTTTCTTCAAAATAATTGGCTAATAATTTTCAAAAGTATCAAAATCATGAAAGTAGGTCGGGTGCGGTGGCTCACGCCTGTAATCCTAGCACTCTGGGAGGCTGAGGCGGGCGGATCGTTTGAGCTCAGGAGTTCGAAACCAGCCTGAGCAAGAGCGAGACCCCGTCTCTACTAAAAATAGAAAGAAATTAATCGGACAACTAAAAATATATAGAAAAAATTAGCCGGGCACGGTGGCGCATGCCTGTAGTCCCAGCTACTCGGGAGGCTGAGGCAGAAGGATCTCTTGAGCCCAGGAGTTTGAGGTTGCTGTGAGCTAGGCTGACGCCACGGCACTCACTCTAGCCCAGGCAAAAAGAGTGAGACTCTGTCTCAAAAAAAAAAAAAAAAAAAAATCATGAAAGTCAAAGAAAACCGAGAAACCATTCCAGGTTGAAGGAGATATGACAACTAAATGTAATGCATGATTCTGGTCTGGATTGATTGACATGATTATGGCTTGAATTTATGTATTGATTAGTTTGTTAGAAAAAGTACATTTTTGGGACAATGAGTTAAACTTGAATTAGATCTGAGGATTAGATGGAATGATATATTAACGTTAACTTTATGATTTTGAGGGTTATATTGTGGTTTTGGAGGAGAATGTCCTTGTTAATGAAGAATACACAATAAAGTATTTGGGGGTGATAGCAGCATCATCAGTAATTAAGTTGATGACTTACTCTGAAATGGTTCAGAAAAAAGTTATTGAAACTCTTATATTGAGAGCTTTTCAAAAAAAAATTTTTTTAAGTAAGTTAGCATCCCACCTATCTCCTTGGTAACTCAGTTTTCCTCCCCAAAGGCAACATTGGGATTTTATTATTTTATGTATCCTTCTGGAGATACTCTAGGCATTTATAAGCATCTGTCTCTCTACCTGTCTATGTTTTCCTTTGTATATACAAATGATGGCATTCCATACAAACTGTTCTGCTCCGTGATTTCAGCTTATGCACTATCACTACATGGAGAGCTGCTTCATTCTTTTACTGATTTGAATATACTATCATTTATTCAAACAGTCCCCACTGGTAAATATTTTTGTTGTTTGCAATCTTTTGCTATTACAAATGATGCTTCAGTGAATATCCCTGAATACAAGTCATTCAAAATGTGCAAGTAAATCCACAGGAAATAAAATCCTAGAAGTAGAATTGTTGGGTCAAAGGATATGAGAATTTACATTTGCATGGAAATTTTCACACTAACCACCAGTGAGATGTTATAAATTATACTCCCACTCTTAATGTGTGAGAGACTGTTTTATGGAACTCTTTAGTTATTTTGGTTGTTTGCAACCCAATAGATAAAATTTCACTGGGTTCCAATTTTTGTTTCTTTTATTATGAATGAGGTTGAGCATCCTTTCATAAGTTTGACAGCTACTGAGGATTTTACCCATAAAATTGTGAAGGGCTGTGTTTATTACTTTTCTTTTGCTCTGAATTCACCCTGTTTTCTTTTGATTTCCATTTTCTTGGCATGCTTTTTGCCATCCTTTCTCTTTTAGAGACGTGTGAGGTATGTTAACTTTCCCTAAGGACTTCCGGCTATTGCTACACTGTCTTACAATATTGAATGTTGATGTAAAGGAGTTTGAGTCCACGCTGGTCCTCCTCTCCTGGCCTGCATGGAGGCCTTGATCTTATTGTCTAGAATATGCCCAAAGGATTTATCTTTGAAGTCTAATATATCAAACAAGGTATATCTCAGTGTTGATCATTGTGTGACAATTTTTCCTAGGACAAGGCATTTCCTTTCCATCTTTAGATTTCTTTTTTTTTTAAAGAAAGCATTTTGAAAATAAAGCTATGAAATTCTTTCCAAGTTCCATTTGTTCAGTTTTTTTTTTCAGAGACACTACATATTTCATTTTTCTTGCACATCTATAATTTTTCTAATATTTTAAAATTCTTTCTTCCTTTCCACTTCCTTTTGTTCACTCTTCTCAATCCTTAATGTGCTTACCGAAGTATTTAGTGTCCTTATGGTGTTTCCAAAGTCACCGTAATTTCCAATAGCTTTATTTTTTCCCTTTAATTTCTTACCTGAGCTCCAAAAGCTCCCATTTCATCATCTTATATTATCCTACTCCATCTTCCCTGAACTTTTAGAATCTCTGCCTTAATCTCCTGTTTTAAGGGTTTTAAATTTGAAATATCAAAATTTTTATTTTCTCCTTGGCTACATTTTTCTGGTGAATACTCTCTGACACTTGTTTTTCCTTATACCTTTCTCTTTTCCTTATAGTGTCCTTTTATAGATTCACAGCTGGCTCCTTTTTGATTATTAATCATTTTTGATTGAATTTTCTTTGTAAGCTCCCACTGCTAGCGCACGTACTGTTGCTATTGTTCTGGGTAAAGTGTGTGCTACCTGCTGTTGTCTATGATTTGAACATGCATCTGCAGATCTCTACAAGGGAGGAGCTAGGGCAGCACTCAAAAAGAGCAGAAATTCTCCTTGGCTCACAGTAACATTTAATATTAATACAATTGATTAGAGTACAGTGAGGGGAAGTTCTCTTAGACTTTATTTCTTCCCAAATAATTAAATTGGCTACCCTCAATTTATTATATTTCTTCCACATTGTCTCAACACAGCTCTCAGCAATAATGACAGGGGTGAATGAGGATATCTATAGCCCAGCCAGTATCTCCTCTCCATTCTGTCTCATATAGTTTCTATCATAGGTGATATAACTGTATGTTTCTACTCTGTTTCTTCCATGATGCCAAAGGAGTCTAAAGAAGTTCCCACTGCCAGTGTATGTATTGTTTCTATTGTTGTCAATAATGACATTGCTACCTGCTGGCTTTGTCCATATGTAATTTGATGACATAGAAGCAGGATCCTTTCTAGTATCTTCCCTCTACTATCAACTGCACTGTATTTGGCAACTCTTCCTCATACCCTGGGAAATTTGTGAATTTGCTTTCCATTCTCCTAGGTGTTTCTGAATAATTTCCAAAAAGAGAATAGGGAAGGGCTGTGTTTACCGTTTCAAAACTGGAAGTCTTATACTTATTGCTTCTGCTAGTTATGTTTAAAATTTCAAATAATATACTTATACCTCTATTTCTCAATCCACTATAAGATAAGAATATTAATAGCCTTACCCTTTCTTTAAAATTTCAATCAATTGAATGTTTACATTGTTAGGTTGTTAACATTTATATTCTATTTTGAACAAGTCTTCCATAGTGTGTCTGTAGATTGTCTCTCAGAATTGAAAATAGTGTTTACATTATTCTGACTAGGTTTATAGATGAGTGAGTTGGTATAGATAGTGTCTTGATCTCAGTAAAACTATTTTCAGTAGCAAGAATATCTTAAAGACAGCAGTAATACATTCAGAATCTTTTAAAGTCCAGGTCTGATGGTGATACATTTTCTCAGCTTTCAATTGTCAGGGATGTTTATTTAATTTTCTTTTTTAAAGGGTATTTTCCTGGATATGGAATTCTGGGCTTGTAATTTTTTTTATTTCAGTGCTTAGAAGATGTTATTTCATTGTATTCTGGTCTTCATTGTTTCTGATAAAAGGTTAGTTAACATTCCTCACTTTGTTCCTGTGCATGCAATGTGTAGTTTTTGTCTGGATGCTTTTCAAGATCTTATCTTCACCTTTGGCTTTCAGTAGTTTGATTATAATGTGCCTAGCTGTGTTTTTTCTTTTTAATATTTATCTTGTTGTAGTTCACTGAGCTTTTTAGATCCTTAAGTTGCTTTTGACCAAATATGGAAAAATTTTGGCCATTATTTCCTAAAACTTTTTTTCTGTCATATTCTCTCTTCTTTTTTGGTATTCCAATGACATGTATATTATCACTTGATATTGTCTTTTAGCTATGAGATTCTGTTCATTAAAAAAATAGTTTTCTCTCTTTTTTTCAGATTGGATAATGTCTATGGATCTGTATGCAAGTTAACCCTTTTTTTCCTGATATCTTCAGTCCTCTGTTAAGCCCTATAAATATTTCATATCAGATATTATACTTTTTTTTTTGAGACAGAGTCTCACTGTGTTCCCTGGGCTAGAGTGCCGTGGCGTCATCCTCGCTCACAGCAACCTCAAACTCCTGGGCTCAAGCGATCCTCCTGTCTCAGCCTCCCGAGTAGCTGGGACTACAGGCATGCGCCACCATGCCC